CGAACCGGCGCCGGCGCCGGAAAAGAGTTGGCACAGCGAAAATGCAGCGCAAATTATCGACATTCACCCGGCGAGGGCAGAGGCTCCCGGAGGCGATGGTACAAAAAGGCGCCCGCCACGACAACACTGGGCAATCGATCGCTTCGGTGCATGCACCGGGCTCCTTTGCGACTGGCCAAGCAGCGAAGACGCCCGAACATGAGACAAAGAAGCGCCGCAAGCCGCGGGCATGCCCGACAGGCCGAGGGAGGGGAAGACGAGCTAAACCGCGTGAAAAGGCGTGGAAAAAGGCGAGTAGCCGACGGGCGGAGGGAATGACGTATTTATTTGAAATAAAGTTAAAGGTAATAGGAGGTAAGGCTAATCGGCCATGCTGCACATCACCGTCATACTACTTGTCAGTAGACGCGAAGTACTCCTTGCTTTTATCCGTCGTCGGCTTGATTGTCTTGTCGCCCGGACGCCAGTTGGCCGGACAGACTTCACCGTGTTGGTCGGTGAATTGCAACGCGTCTATGAGACGAATGGTCTCATCCACGGACCTACCGACGGGTCGATCGTTCACGGTGATCTGGCGCAGGGCACCCTTGGGGTCGATAATGAAAAGACCGCTGAAAGATGGAAATAAACGGAAAGGCGTCATGTGCAAACGAAGCCAGCGGGAGCAAAAGGAGCCTCGGCTAGTACCGACTCACCGCAACGTATGGCCCTCATCCTCGTCGTAGACGTGGTAGGCCTTGGAGATCCTGCCCGTCTTGTCGGACAGCAGAGGGATGTTCATCGGCCCCAGGCCGCCAGTCTTGCGGGGCGTGTTGACCCAGGCGAGGTGGGAGAATTTGGAGTCCGTCGAGCAGGCCAGTAGTTCACAGCCCCTCTTTTTGAAATCTTCAAGGCGGTCATTGAAGGCGATTATCTCCGTGGGACAGACGAAGGTGCTGCAATGAAGCAGAGGCATTGTGAGAGGAGGGGGGGATAAGCGGATGTGAAGAAGAAGAGCCGAGCGGCTACTTACAAGTCAAGCGGGTAGAAGAAGAGAACAACATATTTGCCTTTGTAGTCGGAGAGTGAGATGACCTTGAAATCGTTACCCACGACAGCATCAGCAGTGAAGGCGGGCGCGGGCTTGTTGAGCTGCAAGAGCATGATGGTGTAGCGGTCGGTCTCGTGAGTCTTAACTTAAATAGACTCGTGACCAATGAGAGTTCAGAACTGGTGCCCTTCTCTTATTGGCTGTTCAATCGAGGCGATAGATAGCCTGACAAATGACTTGGTCAATCCACCAATGAATGCCGAGACTGGCCAAGAGCTGGATCTGGGCGCATTCGCGTCAATCGATATTTCAGTCTAGCTACGTTGCGTTGTTTTCTCCAAGCTCTAATCCACTTAGGGCGTACATGCTATAGTTACGGGTCACATGACCTGACTACGCATCAAACGCTTCGGCTTGCCGGCGTCGAGGCGTTGTTTGAGCTCGAGGCACGGCTCAGTTCCACTCGTCTGCCTACGTCATTTGGTGGCTATGGCCTCTCGATGGTGTCTTGGCCACGTTTCGACGACGTTGCGGCGACGTCTTGACAACGTTTTGACTACGCCGGTGGCGGTTGCCGTCTTCCGCCGGGTTCTTTTGCTCGATTCCTCCAACTACACCTGCTCCAAGGGTCGGAAGCCTCGCGTCATGACAACGAGACTCTGACGAGGCCAGAAGTACACTCAGGCTCGAATGCGAGAACCCTTTGAGAGGCGAGGCGGGGCTGAGTAAAGTTGACTGGCGCGACTTTCACTTGTTGAGCTTGCATCCATTTCGAGTGAAGACATTCGAGGCTTGAATTCACCAGACGATGACTGGAACATTTTTGCTCACGCTGTTCCCCCGAAGCCACCCCCTTCGGTTCCAGTGACCAAGTGCCAGGGTTATTTCAGTCATACGGCGAATATCACCGAGACAGTGTATCATTCTTTCAACAATAGGCAGTAGATACGAAGAGAAACTGGGTTTCGATGAATCTCCTGAGATAACATTGCTGGCGGGACTTTCGATTGGTATGAAAGTGCACAAAGAAGTCATTCGTAGGTCGATCTCACCAGATGAGGACGGATGAATCTATCTGTACTGCAGCCATTTGGCTTTTATACGATGTTCACGTTGGCGCAACCTCTCGTTTCGAGTGAAAACAGGCTGAGCTTTCGTCCATCATTCGATGTACATCATCAGAGCTGGGTCTCATTCCTGTAAAACTCTCACGGTAACGCAAGAAGACTATCCGACTTACAAGCTCATATGTCATTATCTCAACCATACTTGCTTGCGGACTTACGCAGTCTCGGTCAGAGCTTTCTTTTGGGTCATTAGGCCTTGATGGTCAGAGCCTGACATTATACATTTGAGAACTCTGATTTAGGACCGCTATTGCGTATAGACACTAAGACACACACACACACACACACTCGAGCAAAAGTAACGGGACCAGTATGAAAGGTGATTGGCCAAATCACTCTACATGGATCTGTCTAGGTTTTCAATCTTCTTTTTGCTTAATTTAGTTTTTATAAGAAGTAAGTTTAAGCCAGATAGTGTTCTTGTTTTAGTGTTAACGTGACACTTTTACAAGAATGACACCCAGCCCTGATGATGTCCATCATATGATGGACGAAACTCAGCCCGTTTTCACCCGAAACGAGGGCGGTCTGCGTCAACCGGAACGTCGTATAAAAGCCAAACGGCTGCAGTACAGCGGGATTCATCCGTCCTCATCTGGTGAGATCGACCAACGAATCTCTTCTTCATCCACTTTCATACGAATTTAAACTCCTCCCAACAAAAAAGGACTGGTAGTTTAATTTTCCCACAATGCCATGAGTAGACCCCACATTTCCAGTGAATTTCACATAGCCTTGCTTCCCACTTTCATACGAAATGAAACTTCCCCCCCAAATAATTATGCATACACTGGACTCGGGACAGGGTGGGTTCCTCTAGGTCTTCCTACCAACATGACCAAGTTGCGAAAACAAGGTCAAACAACCTCTATACAACGAA